TATATTTTTTTATGCATCTTAAATTTTCAATGGAACTAATTCAACTCTTAACTAATTAGTAAAATTCGAAATCTAGATTCTAATAAAATGCCAAATATTCAATATAACTCAGTTACCCAATTTTTTTGAAATAACCAGTTTATAAAAGTATAAAACAAGAAATCTAAAATGTTAAATTTCGTTCCGGCAATTATCGATATGGACCGGCGACCGAAATGGGCTTTGTTTGTGACCTTACGACTGTTTCCAATTTTTTTTGGACCGATAATCATTAGTACATTATAGGAATAAAAAAATTACAATTTTTCGTATCACTTATATTTAGGGATGAACATACGACCCATGGGACCGGACCGGACCTGACCGGAAAAAAACCGGGACCGGATCCGGACCGAACCGGATTATCATATTAGTGGGCCGGTTTTCGGGTTTGGCTTTTATCAATAATCGAGTTTCGGGTTTGGACCGGACCATACTCGAATTAAAGGATTTAACCCGGACCGGACCGGAAAACCAAAAGTTATTTTCTTTTTTTTTATTAACAACCAGTAAGCGAGAAATATCAAAATAAAAAAAATATTGTCCGATTGAATTGATTCGGCATCTCCTGTGAATCACATTATAGTGTCAATTTTTTTTTGTTTCAGCCTCTTCTCTTGATTGCATTATGGTGTCAATTTTTTTTCTCTAAAAACCAAAAGTTATTTCCTAGTACAATTTTTTTTAATAAAAATAGTAAACTTCTTTTTTTAGAAAAAAAATAATGCAGTATTTTTAATAAAAATAATGTTGTTAAGTGCAATTTTTTTTTATATAAAAATAAAGAGTTAAGTACAAAATTTTTTTATATAAAAATAGTGCAATTTTTTTTATAAAAATAATGTATTTTTTAATAGCGTTTTGTATTTGTTTGCATACACCTCATTTGCACGTGTTCTAATTAGAGTCTCGTAGCGTACCGTTGTATTCATCTTCTTTTATGTATTTTTTTAGTCGAATTGTGCAAACAACAAAGATACGAATGATGGATGTTACGTAATAAGATTATAATTTGAAATAGTATGCTAGAGAGTAACATGACAAACAAAACCGGAAACCATAAACAACAAACATACGAAACTCAGTTTGGTATCAAGAACAAGATTGGACCGAAACCGTAAACAACACTACAAAAGTCTAACTCGGTCCAAAACCCGAAACCCGGTTTAGTACCCGGAATCGGGCCGGACCGAACCCGGACCCGTTACACCAAAAAACGGTCCGGTTTTCGGGTAAGGTAATTCATGATTTTCGGTCTTCGGGTTTTCGGTCTTCGGGCCGGTCTGGTCCGGGTTCGGCCCGTTGCTCATCCCTACTTATATTATAGTGTGCAATGGGGATTCGATGATGAAGAAAATGAAAATTGTGATTTTTATCAACTTGTTGTAGATATATAAAATGGTATGTATATCATATACATAGACGTACTATATATTTACACTCTTATTTTGCGTACATTCATCGAAATAAAAATGTTGTAGAAAAACAAACAAGATACAATAAAGACTACATGACTAAAAGAGAAGAACATAACGAGAAAGATAGTTAATCATTCCCCTCATCATCCTCACTTAAAAAATTGTGTGTCTAAAATACTATTATGAAGTATGAACCCTCAAATGAATTATGTAATGAAACCATATCCAAATGAATTATGTAATGAAACCATATCCATATCAAAGATTGATATGCATAGTATTCTACCAAAATGTTATTCATGCAAAAATTGTTGTTTGTTAACAAATTAGTCTTTTTGCTAAGAATTCATCTATGTTTGTCAGATGATGAGATGTTATCACTAAAACTAAAAAGAAAGCAATTTCTAGACCTAGTTTCTCTATAACATTCAATAAAGCTTAAGGACAAACAAATTCCAAACGTGGATGTTTACCTACCAGAATTGGTATTCGTACTATATGTGACGGTGTCAAGAAAAATATCACATGTCAATACAAAAATATTAATAAAGTTGACCAAAACATTCAATCATGATGAAATCTATACATCAAACGTGATGTATAAAGAAATTTCATGTGATGAATAGGGTACAACCATTTAACCAACGACTTATTATTTTAGAGTTGTTACAATATGTATCTTATATAAGTAAATGATATTCCTTGCAGTACATGTCAATACAACGATATTAATAAAGTTGACCAAAACATTCAATCATGATGAAACATTCAATCACATGTCAATACAAAAATATTAATAAAGTTGACCAAAACATTCAATCATGATGAAATCTATACATCAAACGTGATGTATAAAGAAATTTCATGTGATGAATAGGGTACAACCATTTAACAAACGACTTATTATTTTAGAGTTGTTACAATATGTATCTTATATAATTAAATGATATTCCTTGCAGGATATGTCAATACAACGACGATCAACTTTTATATATTAATGTTCTAAATGGAAAAAAAATTCATGCTTGTAATCAGGGCGGATCCAAGGGGTTTCTCGGGGTCCCGGGCCACTACCTGATTCCAACTTATAAGTGTAAAAGAATATTAAAAGAAAATTATTTTTTGTTGAGTGAAAAAAAAAACTAGTGCAACCACTAAAAAATATGTGCAAACTACTAGTATATTTTGAGTGAAACAAATAAATAAAATTGTTTTCACTACTACTATAAATTCCCGCATTCCCCTTATTGTAATTTATATTTTGTTAAATCCACTATGAACTTTCAAAATGTATATTCAACTTACAACAAAATGTAGGGCAAATGACATAAAAACCCTTAAGTTTTCACAAAATGTTTGGTTTTACCCTTTGAAGAGTTTTAAGTTCAATAATGCCTGAAATTTTGTCTAATTTATTCATATATCACTTTTAAGAGGTCTAGCCGGTGACATGTCTAAGTGGGAATCCATGTAGGCGCTGATCGGGTAGAATTAGTCTCACGTAGCGCCACATCAGTGGCATTGTGGGCCCACATGTCGCTTTATTTATTAAAAATTGTAGGATTGGAGAAGGAAACGAAGGGGTGCTGGGATTCAAACACCAAACCTTTCATTAATAAAGAGAGTTCCTTAACACTAGGCTGTATAAATATGCTTTTATAAAAATATGTATACGTTTTTTAATACATATAAATACATAAATGTATGTTTGTATAATAATAATAATAATGATGATGATGATAATAAAAATAATAATAATAATAATAATAATAATAATTATTATTATTATAATTATTATTATTATTATTATTATTATATATCTAAATTATTTTTGCGTTATACATTTTATATTTATTATCAGGACTTAAGACGTAAAAGATGTTATAGCCTGGTGGTAAGTTCGTATGTTTGTGAGGGGAATATGTCGGGTTCTAATGTTGGCTGCCCCTTTATTTTCCTCCTTCCAATCGGGTTTTTCAATGTAAAGGAACATCCAATTCAGTGGCGACGTGAAGCCACGTCAGACCAATTGCACCCAATCAGCGCCGAGCCGCCGAGCACTCAAACACCGACTGTTGACCGGCTAGACCTCTTAAAAGTGATAAATGAACAAATTAGACAAAATTTCAGGCATTATTGAACTTAAAACTCTTCAAAGGGTAAAACAAAACATTTTGTGAAAACTTAAGGGGCTTTTATCTCATTTGCCCCGAAAATGTATGTCATATTTTGGTTGAACTATGAAGAAATGTGTGTTTTGTTCCACGGGTTAATGTCATAAAACCCTCAAGTTTTCAAGGTTTTGTCGGTTTTGTCCAAAGTTGAATTTTATGTCCGTTTCTACCCTAACATTTCCGAAAAAATGTTCGGTTTTACCCTTTTACCGGTGATAACAGGTTTTCAGGTTACCATTATATTAAATTCGCAAAAAAACCCTTAAGTTTACCATTTTTTTGCGTTTTTACCCTTAAGTTTATAATTGTTTTTTACACTTTTACCCTAAGTATTTTTTTTCATAATATACGTATTCATGCAGAAAAATCGTATTTATATACGAAAAAATGTTTAATTAAATATTGTATTTTTTTAATGTTATATATATATATATATATATATATATATATATATATATATATATATATATATATATATGTTTGTGTGTGTGTGTTTTTGCAAGGTTATATCATTTAAAAAGATAAATAATATTTTTAGAATTATGAATACGTGTTTTATAGATATAGTTTTTAGAAGTATAAATACATATTTTTACATTTTTATATATTAATATGTATCTATACTTCTAAAAATATATTTATACTTTTAAAAAAAAACATATATCAAAATACATATTTACACTTCTAAAAATATATGTATATACTTATATAAACATGTTTATGATTGAATAAGTTTTTTTTTTATTGATATGTATATTTTTAAATACATAAAAATATGTATTTGTAGTTCTAAAAACATATTAATTTGTTTTATTTACATCTTAAATGGTTTATCCAAGAAAAAAACCTATACACACACACACACACACACACACACACACACACATATATATATATATATATATATATAGAAATAACATTAAAAAATGTAAATACAATATTTAATTAAATTTTTTTTCGTATATAAATATGAATTTTCTGCATGAATACGTATATTATGAAAAAAAATACTTAGGGTAAAAGTGTAAAAAACAATTATAAACTTAAGGGTAAAAACGCAAAAAAAATGGTAAACTTAAGGGTTTTTTTGCGAATTTAATAAGATGGTAACCTGTTATCACCGGTAAAAGGGTAAAACCGAACATTTTTTTGGAAAATGTTAGGGTAAAAACGGACATAAAATTCAACTTTGGGCAAAATCGACAAAACCTTAAAAACTTGAGGGTTTTTATGACATTAGCCATTTGTTCCACTGCTGTTAAATTGGAATTGTATATATATATATTCAAAGGTATGTTATTTTCTAAATCATCGTATATTGGTTGATTGTAATTCAATGGACCATGTATGAATCAAATTAACAAGCTATACATATACATGAACAAAATAACAAGCCATATAGTAATATACCACTTGTTTAATTTACACAAATAGCCCTTAACATATGCTCTAATTACAAAACCTATACAAACAAAACACATCTTTACAAATACTATAAATACAAACCACTAGAAAATAGGCTTCTTAAGCATTCTCCTCTCCCTTTCAAAAAGAAACCTAGACCCATATAAAAACCGACCCCAAAAGAGGAAATTTGGGGCTACCAAATATCATATACGTAACCGCAGCAAAACAACTAATAAAAACGGGTATCCATCTAGAATAATGTTGATAAAGCAACAAAAAGTTGATGAGAAAAGTGAGGATCATGGTAGCTATAGAGATGAAAAGTGATGCTAAACATATCATAAGTTGTTGGGGTAACGAAATCATGAATCATGTTCGCTATAATCGGATCCCAAAATGGATAACACCAAGAGGATTGAAGTTGTGGCGGATATAAATGATAAGCCATCGAAGATTATGAAGATTTTTGAAAGATTTTTTTTTGAGGAAAATGGGGACCCCGGTTACTTGGTCGTATCCACCTGGAAATGTAAATGCAGCTGCAAATGATATGGTGGCTATAAGTGATGCAACCACCATTAATTGGGCGGCGGTTTCTTTCATCCACTCTTCACCTTTTGAAAATAATTCTTTGTGGTTTTTGTTGAATACTTCGTGTGGTGTTAGACCCGATGCGTTCTTTTTTTCTCGAAAAGGTGGAGGGAGTATAGCTTCTACTTCCTAATATCGTAAAGATTATATTTATTATTAATATTATTATTGTTGTTATTATTATTAGATGAATATTTTATTTTATGAGAGGATGGCAAATAATATGTATGAACATGAAATGATTTGCATAGATTTAAAATGGAGAAATGTATATAAATGAACAAAATGGGTGAAGGTCTTTAACAACATGATTAATTTTTTTAGGGTTACTCTAAAAAAAGAGCGTATATTTTGTGTTTTTTTTTTCGGATTAAATCTCGAATTTATTTTTTGCCTGAAAAAGATCTTGTATTTTTTTCATTTATTCTGATATGGCGCTTTTAGTCATTTAAAAAAAATGTAAAATGTGAGGGTTTTTTTTCGAGAAAAACTAAAAAAGTAAGGGTTTATTTGGAAGCATTTAGAAGGTTGAGGGTTTTTTTCGGAAAAAAAAATACAAAGTTGAGGGTTTTTTCGGAAAAAATGAAAAAATACAAGGTCTTTTTCAAGAAAAAAATAAATTTGAGGTTTAATCTGAAAAAAAAAACGAAATATAAGGTTTTTTTTTAGATTAACGCTTTTTTACTTTTTACACAAATGACCCCAAAATAGATAACAAAAACTTTTGTTTTAAGAGAAAAAATTTATATATTAAAAAAGTGGTCTTCATATATTGCAGAATACATCGTTTTTCATTGGATTTTTTTTTCTCTCTCTCTCTCCTTTTTTTTTAATCTTTTTTGGTGGGGACCATTCAAAAAGCCAATTCGTGTAAAAAATAAAAATTACAAAATGTATTTTTGTTAAAAGCTTGTACCATTTTAGGTAATTTTATGCAAGGAAAGAGCAATGTACTTTCCAAAACTATTTATTTTATCATAGCATTGTAATTTAATTTGATCTTATGACAACTTTTCAAATTATTTCTTATTAACGCATTGTATTTTGAAAAATGTACCCGATTATAGAAATAAGTAGCATGCTACCTTTTAAATATTTAGCTTACAATTACATGTTCAAAAATACCATTTCTTTATTATAACATTGTACGTTTAAAATATTTCTCATGTTATAAATCTATGAAAAGTACATTGCTATTTCTTGCATTTAGCCAGAGGAAACTAGAAAGTACCTTAAACCCATAGTGTTTCTAGATGCAATTGAAGACCAACTCCCGGGATGTGTTGTAGTCTATTAATTTTTGCACTCTCCCCAACTAAATGCAACATATTATTCCCATTTTTGTCTTCAAGAGTAATTATCAAATTCCTGAGTGCTCCTATCTCATACAATAAATTGTAGATCCCTTCATGACGATGTGACACAGCAACATGAAATATACTATGGTTATTATCATTTACCTCACGTACTAAATGTGGATATTGCCTAATAACCTCAACAACAAACGCAGTGTTGCCCATTTCTGCTGCAAGAAATAGCACCCGAGAAGAGTATTTTTGATTTGTGGGATTTGAAGTTGTTGCATTTTCATCATTAGGGGATTTGAATAGGTTAAAGATTCTAGAAGGCATTTTTGCAACGTTGTCAGATATGGTTCTTAGTAGTAGCAAAGTTTCTTGTTTTTCTTTTTCATCGCGTGTTTGTTTTTCATCTTCTTTTGTTTGGTCAGGTGGGCCCCGTATTATTTCATCGATTTGAGCTTTTGGTAGTTTCACAATCTCTGCCCAAATGATTCTTAGTAATTGAAGGGCGTGACTTTCCATATCGGGAATCCCAATCTTTAAATGACATACTGCAAAAACTATGAAACAAAAACAAATTATACGTACAATAGAGAAAGTGTAAAAGAAATCAAGGGAATTGAGATTGAGATTGAGATTGAGATTGAGATTGAGATTATTACATGAACATTTGAGTCTCCAAAAAATATTAGTTCTTGTAGCATCAAATGCATAAGGCTTTCTAGCTAATAATCCAAGTACATTTCCATTTATAGCAAGTTCTGGACAATCCATCACAATTTGTAATGCAACATCTACAAAGTATTTGACAATCATTTAATGAGAAAAAAAAAGGTATAAACGCAACAGTTATGTGTCAAGATACTTACCAAATAGATTAGCTTCTACACATTTCAAAAGAACACAACCTCTATTGTGATATGTCCAAAATTCACCAGTCAATTTCTGGGAATTGTGATAAAGATACCTCACCATATCATGTTTTCCAAATAAAGCAGCCATGTAAAGTGGCATCATACCTCGACTATCAGGAATGTTTAGTAGGGCATTGTTCTTATTCACCAAAATCATAGCTATTTTGACATTTCCAGCCATAGCTGCTAAACAGAGAGCAGTTTGCCCAATTTGATTTTGGAGTTCTAAGTCTTCCTTTTCCATTAAGCTCACTAGATATTCAACAAACCAGTATGATTTCCCCATTACAGCAATGTGAAGAACAGTATCGTAACTTTCAGTGATGCTAAATCGTACAAGCTCTGGGCGTTTGTCTAGGATGATTTTCGCAGCTTTCCAATTGCCGGTTATGGTTGCTTTATATGTCGGAACACAAATTTCATTGTAATCGTCTCTTCTTCCTTCAAATAATTCCAAAATCACATTATTAATTACCAAAGTGTATATAAGAGTTCAATTCGAAGCTCAGGAACGATGAATATCACGCCAATTGTTGATTAAAACGGTGATTTTCAGCAAAATGAAGTAAGATTGCTGTTGAATTGCAAAATTGAGAGTACCAATAACTATAGAGGAACTTACCGACAAGTAGATCGGAACGAGGTAGATTTAGTGGTAATGGCGGTGGTGACTGATTATGTGAAGCAATCGGAATTTGAATATGGCGCTGTTGGAGCTCACTGATCGAACGCAGGTTCGTATTCATGGGGTTCATATCTTCGTCTTTCTTAAATCTTTAAACATTAATCAAATCAAATCCCCACACGAAAGAATATAATGGACTATTGATTTATATTGTCGGAATATACGTTTAAGTTAATGCTAAAGATATTAATAGAAAAATGGTTAAATTGCAAAAGTAGCAATAAATTTTAGAATTAATGTAAGATTGGGTAAGGAAGTATTTAAAATGTTTAAGAAATTCAATTAAACTAAAGAAAAATCATGGGAAGAAAAGTTAATGCTACTTTAAATTAAAAAAAAATAATAAATTCAAAAAGTATTGACCTCCTATATCATATATCATGTTTACTCGTGTCAAATTGATATGATTGTTCAAAAAAACACCCCTAAATTATATATGTTTGTTCAAAAAATACCTTTGACCACTTAAAACTATCATTCAACACCATTTTTTTCGGCCAAACCCACTAATTTAAACTGATTTGAATCTCCAAGGAGAGATGATTCAGTTACATACAAGTTTTTTGCTTTGCATTTTTTTCCTTTACCATTCGACACTTACTCTGTCCGGCAACGCGACCGATGTTGATAAGTCGTAAGAAACATAAATTGTGATACCCTCTTAGTGTTTCCCACATAAATCGAGCATCATAACTCTGATTAAGCTGATTCAAATTTCTATAAAAGATGACTCAATTGCCTACAAGTTTTGTGCTTTGCGTTTTTCCTCATTCTACATTGATCCTGAGCAGCAACACAACTAACATTGATGACATCGTCAGGAATTCAATTTAAATACCGTGTTAGTCTTTCGAACATAACTCAGGCATCGTAACTCCTATTAGGCTGACTCAATTTTCCACAAAAAAAGATGACTCGATTGCGTACAAGTTTTGTGTTTTCCATAACTTCGTGATTATTCTACCAGCAAACTACCAATATTGATGATGTCTTTGTGAACTCAATTTCAATACCTTGTTAGTCTTTCAAACATGACTAAAGTATCATATCTCTAATTGGGATGATTCAAATATATACGAAAATATGACTCATTTGCCAACAAGTTTTTTTTTTTTTTTTTTTTTTTTTTTTCATTTTGCACCGATTAAGGGCCACACGACCAACACTGCGTCATCGTTAGGTAGTCAATTCTAATACCATGTTAGTATTTCAAACATAAATCAGGCATTATAACTCTAATTGGGGTGATTCAAATTTCCACAAAAATATGACTTATAATTCCTAAAAGTCTTGCGCTTTGTGTTATCTCCATTCCATACTAATTAAGCCAAAGAAAGTGTTGGTAAATTGTATTTTTAAAGTGGTGAGGCTGTTTCTCCACAAATATAAAGAGTTCATGGTGTTTTTGTTTACCAAACATATCAAATTTATTCATTTTTTTTATGTTAAACCTGGTAAATAAACAGTGGTCATAAAATTTTCTTTTAATGTTGTAAAACTCGGTCAAATACTTGGAATTGGGTATGTATCGAGACAATTTTCTAAAGATGATAAAAAAAAATCAGTAAACTCAGGTAAAAAATAGGCTATTTGATATTATCGCCAAACCTTGAAATATCGGAGAGTCACAGCGTGCGGTGGGAACCCATTTAATTTAATACAAATTTGAAAATAACAAAAAAGAAAGACTATGAGTTAAATGATTACACTAATATTAAAAAATGAATATCAATTTATGAAATAGTTTAATATTGTAATATTTGAACATTTATCATTGTTGATGATATTCATTTATTTTGTTATAAATTTTAGTGAACTTATGATTACACTAAAATGTGTCCTCACGAGTCTTCACCCGATCTTTTATATATATATATATATATATATATATATATATATATATATATATATATGTGTGTGTGTGTGTGTGTGTGTGGTGTGTGTGTGTGTGTGTGTGTCATACATGATATATTAAACAATTAAACTGAACACATAGGTAAGATAATCTAATTAAATGGTAACCGATTGATATAATCATTAGGGTAAATTACACCAATCGTCTCTCGTGCACATGCCAGAAAGCGTGTTTAGTCCATATTTTCAAAAATTAACTCCGACCGTCCCTCGTTTGCTTAAAACTTGCTAACTTCGTCCATTATATGTGTTTTTGTTGCGAATTTAGTCCACTCCACATTTGAAATGACCATTATGCCCTGGAATATTATTTTTTAGTTAATAATTTAATATTATTTATTATTAATAATTAAAAAAAAACAACTCTCTAATATCTACTCTCTCATACCGCATGAAAATAACCACCACCACCTTCGATGTAGTCTCTCTCTCTCTCTCTCTCCTCTCCTCTCTCTCTCTCCTCTCCTCTCTCTCTCTCTCCCTCTATTCTTCTTCAATACAAAACACACACACACACAAGAAGCTATCACATTGACTTGAAGAACCTCGATTCACCTTCATGTTGACTTGAAGAAGCCATCAGACAACAAATCGAATCCTCAATGAAGCTATAACCTACATCACAAGGTAAATTAGCCCCCGCCGACTTACACCATCTATGAGGAGGATGAAGTGGTGGTGGACGGAATCCTCCTTGATCTCGTGACGGTGGACATCACGTTCCTCGATCTGATTCCGTCAATCGAAATCCTCTTTCTTCTCCTGCAACTCGTTAGTTCCACAATTGCAGGTTTAGGGTTTAGTTAGGGTTGATTTGCAGGTTTAGGGTTTGATCTTTGAGGTTTGATTTTTCCGATTTGTAGGTTTGGGGTCTCGCCGGATCTGTGTGGAGGAAAGGGGTGGGATGGTTCCAGAAATTGAAGTCGAAATCTAAGTCATACATTGGTGGTCGTCGTCGTTCTTGAGCAATCGACGAGTTCAGACCATGGATGGCGACTGGAGAGTCCAGATCAAGCGATTTATGTGACATTTATAAAATCACATATTGCAGGGGTAGAAATGGGCTCCTGGGATTCACCGGTGGAAATTTTTTGTTGGTTTGAGATACGAATGATCGCCGATGATGTATCAATTTTTTGAGAGATTATTTTGGTTGTGGATGTATCGATTTCTTGGTTTAAGGTCTTGAAGAGGATTTGGAGTCGTGGAGTAATGGATTTGATTTCTTGAGAGATTATTTTGTTTTTTTTAATTTAAAACTGATAAATAAATAATTAAATGAAAAAAGAAATTATTAAGGGTAAAATGGTCATTTCATGTCAATAGGGACTAAGCATGCAAGAAAAAAAACAAACCAGGGACGGTCCGAGTTAATTTTTGAAAATAAGGACTAAACACGTTTTTTGGCATGTGCACAAGGGACGAGTACCTTTTTTGTCAAAATATATTGAAAAATATTGCAAAAGTGGTAGGTGATATTAAGTCGGTTGATTAAAGAGTAACAATTATTCGATCAATATGGAGATCACTCGGGGGAATAAACGAATTAGACAAATTATAAAGAATTATTACTTATTCATAAAGAAATGGATATGTATCATTTTATCATTGGTTCGTTCCAACATATATGCTTAGTTATGTATTTTTTATTGAAATTATTTTATATATATATATATATATATATATATATATATATATATATATATATATATATATATATATATATATATATATATAACGGGAATGATCAAATGAGAACACCTAAAAGGTTGAGAACACTAGAACAAATATATTCATTTGTGATTCCATGTATTCATTTGTGGAGAAATGATAAATTTTTACGCACAATCAACATGAATATGCTTTTCTCTTCAATTGAAATTAAAGGCGTAAAAATTTATCATTTCTCCCACAATGAATACATGGAATCACAAATGAATATACTTTGTTCTCGCGTTCTCAACCTTTTTGGTGTTCTCATTTGATCCTAATCCTCTCTCTCTCTCTCTCTCTCTCTCTCTCTCTCTCTCTCTCTCTCTCCCCTCCTCTCCCTCTCTCTCTCTCTCTCTCTCTCTATATATATATATATATATATATATAATATATATATATATATATATATAATAATTTGTCTAATTCATTTATTCCCCCGAGTGATCTCCATATTGATTAAATAATTGTTACTCTTTAATCAACCGACTTAATATCACCTACGACTTTTGCAATATTTTTGAATATATTTTGACAAAAAAGGTAATAGTAAGACATTTCCACTTAAGATATTTTTTTTATCGGCCCTAATTAGAAATATATGCTAGAGTAACGTACTTTATATCTTATTATAATAATATATTTTAATTTAATAATGATTATATCAATCGGTTACCATTTAATTAGATTATCTTATATCATGTATGACACACACACAAACACACACACACACACACATATATATATATATATATAATATATATATATATATATATATATATATATATATATAATATATATATATATATATGTTTAATTGAGAAATAAAAAATGTTGAGAACGGGGGAATCATTCTCAGCCACTCATTTATTTTTACTGCAAAAGTCTCCGTTGTACCAGCATAAATGGATAAGGAATACACATATATTTCCAACAAAACATGTTTCCTTAAACTATGCTAATCATTACCTTAATATATATTCAAAAACATAATTTTTTTCGTTTTTTTAATTTTTAAGAAGCTATTTTTATCGAAAAATGATTTTAAGTATATCAAAATTCATGATTTTTTATTTTTTACAAACAGACATCTATATTGATATACTTTTAAGATAAAATAAAAAATTTATTTTTTTTATATTTTCAGCTATCGTTATTCATAAGTGAATAAAAACGCATCAGATTTTTGCTATAGTACATTCGTTATTCACTTATGAATAAAAATATATACTTAATTTTTTTACAGTTTAAGTATCATTTATACTACTTATTCATATATGAATAACAAATTAACTGTAACAAAAATCTGATAAATGTTTTATTCATATATGAATATAAAATATGACGACAACTATACACGTTTTATTCATATAAATAATAATATATGATGAAAGATGATGTAAAAAATATATTTTAAGTAAGAAAACTTTATTACGTGTCATATTCATATATAAACGATACTTATACTATAAAAAAAAGTTAAGCATACGTTTTATTCATAAGTGAATAACGAATGTACTGTAAAAAAAAATCTGATAGATTTTTATTCAGTTATAAATAACGAGAGCTGAAACTCTAAAAAAATAAAATTTTTATTTTATCTTAAAACTATATCAATATGGATGTCTATTTATAGAAAATAAAAAATTATGAATTTTGATATATTTAAAATAATTTTTCAATAAAAATGACTATCTAAAAATAAAAAAAAAACAAAAAAAAAGTATGTTTTTGTGTATATTAAGGTAATGATTAGCATAGTTTAAGGAAACATGTTTGCTTGGGAAACACATGTTTATCCGTTATCCATTTCCAACGGTACGCCTAAATGTTTTGCGGCAAAATAAATGTGTGACTGAGAATGATTCCCCCATTCTTAACTTTTTTTTTCTCAATTGAACCCTCCTTTATATATATATATATATATATATATAATATATATATATAGGGAAAAGTTCAATAGAGAGCCATAATTATTGGTTCTTCAAGTAACCAAATCTTTTTTTCAATTTGTAGAGATTATTCTTTATCGAAAAAAAAAATTTAAAAATATCTAAATTCATATATTAACATTGTGAATGTGAAAAATATTTTTCGGATTCACATTGTGAATTTGACGTAAAAAAAATCGAATTTGATATCATTGGAAAAAGGATAAAAAGTTATAAATTTCTGTATTTATAGTTTTTTTTTTTGATAAAAAATAAGTTCTAAAAGTTGAAAAAAAGATTGGTTACCAAAGGGCTTCTAGCCCAGCGGTATCAGGTGGTGCCCTCCCTCCTTGAAGTCGAAGGTTCAAGTCTCGTGGTGGACATATGTGAAATTAGGTTAGTTTAAAACTAGATTATAATATTTGTATTTGCCGGTTATATATATATATATATATATATATATATATATATATATATATATATATATATATATATATATATATATATATATATATATATATATATATATATATATAACGATTCGTAAGAACTTGTGAATTATTTTTACAACCAACATTTTTCAGTAAAAACAATACGACAACTGTGTAATAGCCTCTTCTAGCCAATCGCAACTCAAAACTTCCAAAAAAAACATATATATTTTTTATAGACAATGCATATTTACAGGTACACATTAAAAAAATGCACGTCATGTGCATATATTTACATATGTATATGTATATTTTCAGTTTTTTCCTGCGGTTTTTACAACTTTTGAGTTGTAATTGGTCTGGACGAGATAATTAGATGATAGTAGTACTTTTTGAGTGAATAATATTCACCTGATTATTTTTTCTTCAAGTTTTGCTAATCTTTGTGCTCTCAAAAAAAAATATGGCTTCTAGCAACTTCTAATGTATCAATAAGAATTGTGTAATGAATATGATGAACAACTTTTTTGTCTGCTATGCATGGAGTATGCGATGGCCGGAGAAGTGGATAGCAGGAGAGGTCGATTGCTGGCATAGTGGGGTTTAATATATATATATATATATATATATATATATATATATATATATATATATATATATATATATATCACTAAGAATTGTTTAATGAATATTATGAACAATTTTTTTGTCTGATTTGTATGGAGGATGGAGAAGTGGAGAGGTCGATACTAGCTTAATTACACTTCCAGCCAAAATTATAATTTAAAGTTTAAAGTTTAAAGCTATCTAAAAATCGATATTAATATAGTAATTAATTAAGTAGATGTGGCATCATGTGGCGAATGATTGGTATAATCATGGAAATGGTCACTGATTATTATAATCGTAAGAAAATAAAAAGATAATGTTTTAAAAGGTTTTTGTAAACTAGATTATCTGGTTATCGATATCTCTAATTAATAATAAATATAGATCATATGTTTACTTTTCACATTGCTTAAATTGAAATTGAATACATATACTGATCTATCATATAGTAAAGCAAAGAGCATGTTATGTGTAATAAACAAAAAAATTCACATGAATAATGTACCTCAGAAAGAATCTTTTAAATTTGGTATGGAGTTGCTTACTGATGACCTAGTAACATATCTCTTTGTGTGGCATTTATCAAACAAGTTGTAGGGGAAGAAAAGGATATCATGTGTACTACTGGTAAGCCCATGTTTCAAGAAATGAATATGGAAAAATACACTAAAAGTTATTATAGCATAGCACATGATGGGTATAAACCATTGTTTAAGCAAAAGGAAAGCAAAACTCATTGCTTTTTTACTTTGTTCAGGATTCTGATTTCCGAATTCATAGCATGGTTGAGTAAGTTGATGTAAAATTAAATGCAAATTGAGGGAAAATATTGTTAAAAACAAAAGTACCAATGCTAGAAAACCCCAAATGTAACATCTTCCGAAATTTCATAGTCTAAATATGCAAAAGAATGATAAGGTTAACTTCATACTATGAATAGAGTGGTGCTTGGGAGACTTGTATTCTAAGTAATGCAATAAAAATAAGTAAGATTAATTTAGTAATCATAGGTCATAAGTATGAGTAATTATGTGAAGTTTACATGTATTGAAAAGAAAGTTACAAGTAGGCATCCAACCTCGTAGCCATAAGGCATTATCCTACTGCACTAGTTCTTATTAAAAACTTATCACTCATAGATATCTGATTGGAGATATTACATTAAAAAAGGATGCAAAGTAACTTATGAAGATTAATTTGGAACCGACAAACTTAAAAAACAGCTATTGCCATTATACCACGTAATAGATGCTCCAGCCGTGGAACTTAAGGTACAACTCAAGAATAATGAAATATAAGTATTACTTAAATGTGATGTACAAGTGGTGAAACCATTAGATGAGCATTGGAATTATATATATCTCGGTCATTGTGATTTTCTAAGCATTATATTTTTCAATCCTAAAACGATAGAATTGTCAATTACCATTTAAAATTTTACCATAAATATAAATTTTGAGAACACTTTACTGCATATTCTGTAAAAGTCATTAAATTAATGTAACATTTTTTATAAATTATTCTAGGACCAATTACAACTAAAATAATCACAATGCCAACAATTCAAAACCAAATAGGTAGATATGGGATGGGCTTAAAATCCAATAAAATATCTAAAATATGTTTACAGACGGAAATTTCTTTTCTTTTTGGGCTGTGTATAACAAAAACTACAAATGAAAGCAAATAATTCAAAACCCAATAATAACAAAGGTTAGTGATTTTAAATGTAGCGAATGTCCTTTATATATATATAGATAATATATATATATATATATATAGATATATATATATATATTATATATATCGATATATATATATATATATATATATATCTATATATAACTAGGTTACAACCCTTGGGAACCACGGGTAAAAAATTTATAAAACATTTATATTATTAATAAGAGTTAAGTTTGTTTAAAACATTTTGATTTTACCATCTCATCCATCAATATCATCTTAATTGATTTTACTACAGTGGGGTTAACACCTGACAATAAGAGAAAATTGCTTAATGGTCAATCTTGTTGTGGTCTTTTTAGATATGGTACACACTGCTTTCATTACAACATACATATAACACTTCAAATTCGTTTAATAGGAAAAAATTAGTAAAAAATCATAGAAAATTATCATTATGTCCCTGGACTACTAAGATATTATAACAACAATCACAAAGTGAAATATAAACACACAAAAAAACCTAGAAATTATGAAAACTTTAGAGTCCATGTTAATGTTTAAAATTTTAAATGGATTGGTGAGTGCAACTCCAAACATCGAAGGAAAAGCTAGATCAAAAACAAATTTGATAACATACTTTTACTTGATAGTTAATTTACACAAGTTATGGTGTTGCATTTGTAGTAGAACTGTAACTTTTGTTTTTGTTTCTTTTTCAAAAAAACCAAATCCATTCAAAAATGTATTCAATTAATTATATAAATTTCTTGTAAAGAGCATTGCCTTAAGAAAAAAAATGAGCAACAATATTTTAAAAAATATCCAGAAAATAGCAATTTACTTTTAGAAAATTTGATTTTACGCATATTTTCTCAAAAAACCTAGAAATTATCAAAACTTTAGAAAATATGCATTTCAACTACACACCTGTAATATAACCATTGATTTAAATATTTTTATGTCACAGAAAACGATCGTTGAATGCTTCTTGTTATTAACTATACATACACACATAAAATATGTTGATTCAAACAAATAGATTAATTAAACAAATAACCAAAGGGAAAAACTGTAAACTAAAATGTAAGAAATATACATTATTCAAACAAATAGTCTAAATGTCAATGGAGTATCAAGTAAGCGGTTTTAAAAAGATGATTCAAGATGAAGTACATACAGTTTTATTGAAAAATCGGAGTGTCTTCACGCCCAAAAGTTCTTGGTCTTCTTTCTTGCGGAGCACAATATCAAGTAAAGGTCGATTAAAACGATGATTAAAGATGTTTCAAGTATATATAGAACCGAATACGATTAAAAAGAGCAAATAAATCAAATTAACTGCAATTTATATCATACATTATATATATCATCATACATTAATACGAAATTGGAGGACTGAATCGGGTATCTATTTCAAACGTATCACATTAAATTTAAATAGAGATCATATACCATAAATACCATAAAAATTGGATATTAAATGCTGATTTATTTTGACTTGGACATTATATACAATTATAGAAGGTGAAATCAAATAGAGGCAAAAACGGTATTTAACATTGGATAGAATTAGTGTTTTTGAAGGGACACGTGTCAATTTACTTTCGTTTATTAGTTAGGGAGACTACTCTAAGTTTTTTTATACGTCTTGCTATTGAACTTTTATATATTGTTTATAAAATAATATTATAATCAGGCTAAATTAGGATTCTCTATACATATTTTTTTTAAGAGTAAATTATATGAATGGTCCCTATGGTTTAGGGTAATTTATGCATTTAGTCCCTAACAATTTTTTTAACCCGAAATGTTCCTACTTTTTGTTTTTATTACGCGCTTGGTCTCTGTCTTACCTAAAAAAAATTCTTTTTCCTTTGATTTTTTAATTTATTTAAAGAAACACATCCCCAACCCCACCTCTCTCACATTACCATGCCTACACCACCATTTTTTCCTATTTAAATAATAGTCTTTTTAGGTAAAACAGAAACCAAACGCGTAACAGAAACAAACAGTAGGGACCAAGCGCATAACAAAAACAAATAGTAGGGACCTTCCGAGTTAAAAAAATAAGTTAGAGACCAAACGCACAAATTACCCTAAACCATAGGGACCATTCGTATAATTTACTCTTTTTTAAAGGCTATTAAAAAAACTAGCAATAAGTAGAATCAATTACATCAAAAAAATAACAAGATGAGGGTCTTGTAATCACCTTACCTAATTAATGTTTATTTTATTTTTTTATTTTATTTTTTTATTTCTAGCATTACACCATAAGAAAACTTGAGTATCAAATGTTATAAAAAAGAACCATTGCCCTTGGTTTTGAAACACATAATTCTTGAAAATCTATATATGCCACCACATGGAGTAAAAAAACACTTTACTAGTAATTCTTCACAACTCCTTGAAGACGAAGAGTTGAAAACCAAATGAACCAATCATCATACGAATTGATACCGTCAAGCCCTACCACCTAACAATCCAAATAAAAACCAAATTTATCATAGGACAGACAAAAAACCAAATAGATGGTCGACTCCAGACCTCGATCACAAAGAGAGCACAAAAGAGAGGGAATATACATACCACAGTTAACTAGGTTTTCCCTATTTAGGAGTCTATCCAAAGCAAGATGACATGCAAAAATATTGACCTTAATTAGAACAATACGAAAACAACTTTCCATTTATATAAGCCCGGACGGATGCCACCATAAAACACCTGATAAAGACCAAATCCACTGTCAGAAGTAGGAATATGGGTTTCCGAATGTAAACTCACCTGAATACCTTCCATTGGAGACTCTACCTCACCTCATATTATTATGAAAATAAACCATAAATTTCATCTATTTATCTTGTGTTTGACTATGATCTGTATATCCAATTCAATGGTAAGAAGTTTTTGAATTTGATTTTTTAAAGGCAGATCACCTACCCCAAGTATTATACCGAAAGGAAGTGGATAATTCGTCTCCAAGCCTTTTTTACACATCGGTAAAAGATTCAAACCACTAACACGAAGATGATTTACAACCTTAAGAATATCTTCTAATGTTTAAATGGTTCTCTCACTCTGACTATCAGTTTGATGATAACAAGATCGAAGGTCTATCTTTAAAAAATAACATGAATAACCCCATCCTCGTAACAAATCAAATATGTCATTAATCTTCGGTAGGGGATACTGATTCTTTTGATGGCCACTTTTTTGAGGTAGTAGTAGTCGATACACATTCTCATCCATCTGTCTTTCTGCTTCATGAATAAAATTGGAGCTCCCTAAGACGCGGTGCTTGGTCTCACTAAACATTCATCTAATACTTCTTGCAATTGCTTGGTTTCACTAAACAACACGATTCTATGTTTGTGGGACGTGACACGTGGTTTCATCCTTCGCAGTGCCCCGTCGCTGTTCATAGAATGTGTTTTTCGTTTTTTTTTTATTTTCTGTTTTAAGTGTTCTTGGTCACTTTCTGCACTTGACTCAAACTCATGCAAATTTGATAGTTTTACAAAAGTCGTATATCGCTGTGTTTGTTGTTTTAATTGTTTAATTTTAATTATTAGTTAATAACAAAATCATGACATTGTTGTTTGGACTATCTCTTACATGTGAGATCATAGAAACAATTGTATGTTGGCCTTCTTTCAACTTTATGGTATTCATTTAATCTAAAAGTTGTAATCCAATTTCAAAATAATTGTTTGTTTTGAATTGTATGGATCCGAAACAACGAGCCTTGTCTTGACCTATGTGTTGTATGTTTGGTTGTGCTTTTGGTCTTTGTGACCTTCATATAACTTTTTTTGTTGTAATATATAAATTTTCTTTTAAATAGTAATAGTTTAGTTAGGAAATTTGTATTAGAATAGAAAATTGTAATTTGTTGAAGACTTAAGACCAAGAAAAGGATCTATGAGTTTGGAGTCCCATGATGCTCTTTCTGACATCAAGAGTTGGTGATTGTTCAAGTGGGAGCTCTGAATGTCCCTTTTTCCTTAGTATGACTACTCTCTCCTTTGATGGCTCACAGGGAAGATGCATATGATCGAGGCTGATGGTATCTTACTTGCACTCTGATTGTGTTTGTATGTTTTGTGGTTATTTTATTTTGCATGGTTGTTTTATAAAATTAGAATCTCAAACTGTTAAAACTTAACATAACAAAGAAAAGGTTTTTTTTATAGATGTTTATAAAATTGGCTAAAATTTTAATAGTTTTCAAAATATCAAGTTAAAATGTTTTAACTAAACAAAACAAAATATCGTTTTATAAAAACATAAATCTCACATTACCCATGAAAAACATATTGGATTAAGGTGTCTAAGGTCTTAACTAAATTGGTATAATCTTAATGAATAAAAAGTAAAGTCCTTTGTGAGTTTCCCCCATAACCGGAATAACTAGAATTGATATTAGGAAAGAGATAAAATAAATTGTTAATATATTGTATAATTGAGATATTAATTAAAAATAGTTAATAATTAATTAGAAATGGTTGTAATTACTTACTTATTAAATAGAATTAATCTGGAATTAATTTGAGATTAATTGGAATTAATTAAAGGTGCAATGACTGGATTCTAATTGTTTTTAATTGAGCAAGGAAGGCAATTATAGAACCCTCCTTGGGTATGGACGATTTTGGAAGGGTTTCTAGGGTTTATGGAAGCCTGGGTGTCAAACCGGCCAATCGTGTCATGTTTTTGTTTGACACAACACGACACGACAAAGTTTTATGTGACACGAACACGATGTGGTGTTTATTTTTGTTAACACGAAAACAAGTCGATTAAAGCAAGAAAAAACGTAACGACATGAAAAACATAAAATAATATAATTATTAGTTTATTTAATTCATACTTAATCACATATAACACGAAAAACATGACAAACACGACAAACACATGCTAAATCGTGTCAATTTCGTGTTGAATTTTAAACACGAACACGACACGACATGAAATCGTGTTTTTTACACATGACACGAACACGAATTCAAATTTGATTTCGACTTAATTTCGTTTCGTGTCATGTATTTTTGTTGTGTTGTGTCATAAATTGACACCCATATATAACTAATAAGGATAACTGCATTGAATAGATAAAATGTGATTATTTTATTATTCAAATCAATGTTATCCTGGAGATTCCCTAGCTATAAATAGGACCCATTGGGCATCAAATTTCATGACTCTCTCTTCCCTTAAGGTGGAGAACAAAATTTATCATCCTTCCTCCTCTCTCCTTTTGAATTCTAGTGTTCTAGGGTTATGGGTGTGAACCGTTAGAGACATCCACATTATTGGTGCTTTCATTCCAAGGAACAAATCAAGAGAGTTGTTTGCATCATTTGATTGTTGCAAAAGGTATGTGTTCTAACTCATGTGTTTTTCGATTTCATAGGTTAAAAGATTGTTTCATAAAGTTTGTTGCTATAACTTGAGAAAATTCCATAGTGTTCTAGGTTGCATGTACCATTAAGTATTTATGTTAAATTTTGATGTGCAAATCTCTTTGATGTAACCTAGAAAACCCATCAAAACACACACCATCTATATAATTTGTTGATGTAGGGTAGTTCCTGGAGCTAAGGGATCACATTTTTTTTGCATAATTGAGGTGATGTGATACTCTCGATTCTCATGCGTTACTTGAGCCAGGAATCATGTGTTTTTCATGGTTGATTTACCGTTTGACTTTATAATCCTCGGCTAATCCAGTCATGAATGTTAGATAAGAGTGGAAGAGATTAACATGCAACTGATTAAAGTCAATAAATCTTGACAGATCTAGGAGTTTCATAGAGATTGAAATTGGCAAACAACTTGCCTACCTAAATTGCTCTTTGATGTGATTGCGAATAACCATCTTCACATTTTTTAGTAGAAACTTCAACTTCAACGTACCTATATTTTCTATCAAGAATGGAAGTGTAAAGAAGAAGAAATCCAATTGTCCATGGGTAAAAGGCGATTAGAGTTGGTACACTCAACTTCGACCCTGGACACAAAGGACAAAAACAAGGTTTGTTTTGAGACATATTCTGATAGGCTATTTATTTCCAAAACAAGAAAAGGACTAAGAAAGAAAGCATGACTAATATATCAGAAAGAGCTGAAAAGCTACAAGCCAATGAGTATGTAAGAATTAGATATACAAATTCATAATACCATTAGAATATTACTTCCAACCATTGAGTATATTACTTAAGAATAGTACTGACATTTTCAAGATTGTGTTGTGACAAAAGTAAGTAAGAAACTAAAACATAGAGAATAGACTTTGATCAAGGATACCAAGTCCCTGCTACTATCCTTAGGATCAAAAGACAACTCATTCTCCTAAATGTTTAGTTTGTGGTCAGATATATGAATTCATAACACCATTGGAATATTACTTCTAACCCTTGAGTAATTTATTAAGGATAAGGTATTTGCATTTGCAAGGATGTACAACGACTAAAAGGAAGTGAGGAAGTGAATGACTAAATCGTAGATACCAAATCCTTGCTACTATTCATAGGATCAAATGTTAACTCATTCTCCCCAAATGTTGAGTCTATGGTCTTATGATTGAAATTATTTATACATTGTTTCATGAGATGGTTATGAATTATTTAAATATAGAACATTTTATATGTTTTCTATTTAAAAGAAAATTAAAAAATCTAAGGAACTAGTATAGTAACAATAGTTCAACGTTGATTCAAATACATCTAAAAGTTTGGATGAAATGTATTTGTGAAATCATCTTCTTATACATATAAATGAGAAAATGCATTACCAAATATCAAGTTGGATATGATTTTGGAAATCATTGGACCACTATTCTTATGATAAATTCAAATCTTGTTTATCAAAATAGATGATGAAAGTATCACTTGATGATATAAGTATCTGATGGAAATAGTTCACACTAATGGACCATTTAGATTAACCATAATAGATGGTAAGACCAATTTCGTTACCTTCAAAAGGTATGAACATGTTTATCTGAATAAAATTAAGTCTGGAACCTTTATGGTGTTTAGAGCTCTCATGAAACGAAGTTAAGAATCAAATGGGCAATAGGATAAGATACTCAGATCCAATAGGGATACTAAGTATCTTAGTTAAAAGTTTAATGATCATATAAAATATTGTGAAACAGTTTCACAAACTATCTCCATCCAGAACATTTCCATAAGTAGTGTAGTTGGATAGAGAAACAAATAATTGTTTGATTTGATACTTAATGAGTCGTACTATGCTTACAAACAGTTCATGGACTTTACCATGAAGAGTGTTACAAGATTCCTTGGTCTTTTACTAATTAAGAAGGTTTATAAGACACTCTCTAAGATAAGTGGTAGGGTTCATTCCTCACTAGCACAAATGGAAGTCTAGGATCATGAGGCTTATGCTCGTCGTGAAGCGCTCGACATACTAGAGCCTCGAACAGGGATGTGTTACTTTGTTGAACATCCTAACAAGCCTTTTGGGTAGTTGTTTACAAACCCTTTGAGAAAAAAAGTGTTTGTTTCTGAGAGAGGAAGCTAGTTTGCAAAAGGGATAAGGGGAGCCACATTGATCTTGATGAGGTTCAAGGTCAACCAACAAAGAACCTACAGTTGGCACTAGCACTCAATTCGAGGTTGAAAGACCTATTTTGGAAACTGACAAACCTCCAAATCTTCCTTATATATATATATATATATATATATATATATATATGATGGAGGACATCATGCACCTATTTATATAGATTTTATATTATTGAGGTAAATGAGTCAACTGGTAGATGACAATTA